AAAAAAAGTAAAAATCACAGAAAAACACAAATAGAAAAGAATGAAATCCAAAATTTGGTACTAATTTAAATATTCTAATTTCTTCTTACTAGCTGTACTGTCTACATACTAAGAGGAACTGAGAGGAAGCTTTTTATTCTTTTCCATAACTGATGTCTGTTTGACTTACAGTTTTACAACCCAAAAAATGCCATTGAGGTATTCATGGATATTTACTTTATGGAATGTTCAGTAAGTTATGATGACCATGTCCTTTTCTGCCTCAACAGATATCTGCCTACAGAAAGAATAGTTTTGTGATACATAACTGGAAGTTAATAATTAGTTGCCATAAGCTATCCAGGGTGATTCGGGTTTGCATATGAGTTTGTGTTCTGTGGAAAGGCACTATTTGAGGTATTCAGCAGCTGTAGTTGTGCACAAATTTTGTTATTACTGATGTCTTATTGATCAAATCACTGAACATATCTAAGCCTTAGAATAATGAGTTTTATATGATTTATACTAGTTCTTCCAATTTTAAGTTGTTATGATACTGCAGTGTGCATGTTATTATAATTCTACTCCAATCAGAAATGCTAATTATGACAGAGCTGCAAGCACACATTAATACTGAAATATGTTTACTTTTTTAGAGACTGATACAGAACAATTCAGTGATGTAATTGGAAGATACATACTAAAGGGTGAAAATAAAACACAATCGAAGAGTCACCCTGGTAAGAAGCATAACTTTTAAAATCTACTTTTGATTTATTTACCTTCTATGGATTTCTCTTAAGTATGATTCTTTAATGTTAACAGTACCCAGTACCTGTATATCACTACATGAGAAAAAGTCTTTTTGAATTCCCTCCTATAATTAGTTGACTGTAATAATTAGTTGACTGTAAAACTTACTCTCCATGGAAAATCAGCTGTACAGTTTCTCTGTGTTGCTGCAGTATCAGGAGAATTTGTAATAGTTCAGCTTCAACAGGGTTCTTCAGTCTTGTTACTTATTTCAGAGATTACGTTACTGCCTTATTCTTGATGTAGTTTCACATTTGTCCTTGACTTTTGGTGTGATACCAAAATAGAGAACTTATCAAAGCCATCTGGGAAAGATGAAGATCCCTATTAAAACAGTGCTCATCCGCAGGTAACTGTGTGCGTGAAAGCTTCCCATCGTAAGGAGTGGAGGAAATACTTCAGTAACACCAAAGGGTCCCCCAAATGACATAACTTATCACCTGTTGATTATTAATTACTGTTCTGCTGATTTCAGTGTATCTTTTTTCATTTTGGTGGTGATGCTCTAACTCATCCCTGGATTTACACAGATTGCTGTAGCATACACGTGGGATGTCAGGATCACTGCGCAGCCTTAACAGTTATTCATTATCTCAGCCACTTCTCCAATGCAAAACTCTGACTCCATGGGTCTCTGACTGTGGGGTTTAAGTCATTACAGGTTTCCAACTACTGTTATACTTTGTTAAAACCAAGCTTAATGATAAAATTTTAGGCCGAGATGGTGACTTATTAACTTGTATTTTTGTATGTTATTGGATTTAGTAGTAATTTTGAAATTATTCAGTAAAATGAGGCTTATGTGATTGCTTAGAATGCTTCTGACTCAAAGGTTTTGTGATTCTGCAACCCAAACCTTTTAAATCATTCTCCTCCTTTAATAACAATTATGAATTAAGTTACCACTACTTGTATGCTGCAGCCAACAGAGAGAGCACAATTTAACCTTTCAAAGCACTTGATATGTGTATAATTTTTATAGAGACTACTGTAGAACGTGTGACAGAGGCGGTTGGAAAAGGTCTAAGAAAGGGACCAGTCAAGACACAATTCAAGACTCAGACCAGTAAGGATTTATGTTTACTTCACTTCTCTGGAATTAAATAAGGATCTTTGATGGCAACTCTATCTTTAAGTTAATATTACATGGACAAGTATCTTCATGAATTCTTTTTATAATTAGTAGAACTCTGGTATACTACCAATGGACTATTTCCTATATTATTAGTTTAAAACTTATCCATAGAACTCAATGGTTATATAATTAAATTTACTTCTGAAATCACAGAAAGACTTTTCATGGGCCCTTGGTGAGATATCAAAAGAGACAGAGAGCTTAACAGATACATAAGGGAGAGAGGCACTTGAAGAGAGGACTGTTCTAACCACATCATCTGAAGTGGCCAGTGTGCACACACACGCTGTGCTCTTGGAGAAGCAACATCAGAGGCTTCCCATAGCAGAAGGAAGGGGACTTAAGCAAAAGGTCGCATAGATCCCTAAACAAATAAACCAACAGCAACAAGCCCTGAAAGGAGATGCATGAGTCATTATCTATTTTTTCTCTAATGTATAATCTAAGCTATCCAATTTTCAACTTGAAGTAATGGATCATTAAAAGAAGCAATGAGGTGTGATCTGTATAAAAGGAAAAAGGGAATGCTTGTGAAAGTCCCAGACCACAAAATAATTTTAAAAACACTCAAAGAAATTGTTTAAAAAACATGCTTAAGGCATTACGTGAAGGTATGATGAAAATATCTGTATTAGCTGTTCAGGTTTCCAAAAGGAAATACTTTAAAGAAATGTATTTTATCACCATTCTGAAGACTAGAAGTTCATGATCAAAGCGCTGTCAAAGTTGGTTTCTGTAGTGGTGTCGTGGCACTGTAGGTTTAGCTGCCATCTGCTACGGGAGACCCAGATGAAGTTTGTGGCTCCTGGCTTCAGGCTGGCCCAGCCCTGGTTGTTGTGGCCATTTGAGGAGAGAACCAGTGGGTGGAAGATTCTGTCTCTGTCTCTGCCTCTCTATCTTTCTAACTCTGCCTTTCAAATAAATAAGTAATTAAATATTTGGGGGACCAGCATTGCGCTGTAGTAGGGTAAGCCTTTGCTTGCGGTGTCAGCATCCCATGTGGGCACCAGTTTGTGTATGACCTGCTTCTCTTCCATTCCAGCAAAGATGGCCCAAATGCTTGGGCCCCTGCACCCATGTGGGAGACCCAGAATAAGATCTTGCCTCCTGGCTTCATATCAGCCCAGCTCCTGCCATTGAGGCCATTTGGGGAGTGAGCCAAAGGATAGAAAAACTTTTTGTCTCTCCCTCTCTCTGTAATTCTACCTCTCAAATAAATAAATTAATCTTTAAAATAAATAAATAAATATTTTTTTCTTTTTTTTAACTTTTATTTAATGAATATAAATTTCCAAAGTACGATTTATGGATTACAATGGCTTCCCCCCCATACCGTCCCTCCCACCCACAACCCTCCCCTTTCCCACTCCCTCTCCCCTTCCATTCACATCAAGATTCATTTTCAATTATCTTAATATACAGAAGATCAGCTTAGTATACATTAAGTAAGGATTTCAACAGTTTGCTCCCACACAGAAACATAAAGTGAAAAATAATAGATGATTTTTTTAAATGATGATGAAATCAGATCAGACCTATTGTCATGTTTAATCCCAGTGAGAGTCAAGTTGGGAGTTGATAATTTCTTTTTTTTTTTACAGAGGATCAGTTTAGTATACATTAAGTAAAGATTTCAACAGTTTGCACCCCCATAGAAACACAAAGTGAAATATATTGTTTGAGTACTCGTTATAGCATTAAATCTCAATGCACAGCACATTAAGGACAGAGATCCTACATGAGGAGTAAGTGCACAGTGACTCCTGTTGTTGACTTTACCAATTGACACTCCTGTCTATGGCATCAGTAATCTCCCTATGCTCCAATCATGAGTTTCCAAGGCTATGGAAGCCCTCTGAGTTCTCCGACTCTTATCTTGTTTATACAAGGTCATAATCAAAGTGGAGGTTCTCTCCTCCCTTCAGAGAAAGGTACCTCCTTCTTTGAAGACCTGTTCTTTCCACTGGGATCTCACTCACAGAGATCTTCCTGTTTAGAGTGTCTTAGCTTTCCATGCCTGAAATACTCTCATGGGCTTTTCAGCCAGATCCGAATGGCTTTAGGGCTGATTCTGAGGCCAGAGTGCTGTTTAGGACATCTGCCATTCTATGAGTCTGCTGAGTATCTCACTTCCCATGTTGGATCACTCTCCCCTTTATTTATTCTATCGGTTAGTGTTAGCAGGTACTAGACTTGTTTATGTGCTCCCTTTGACTCTTAGTCCTTTCATTATGATCAATTGTGAACTGAAATTGATCACTTGGAATAGTGAGATGGCATTGGTACATGCCACCTTGATGGGATTGAATTGGAATCCCCTGGTATGTTTCTAACTCTACCATTTGGGGCAAGTCAGCTTGAGCATGTCCCAAATTATACATCTCTTCCCTCTCTTATTCCCACTCTTATGTTTAACAGGGATCACATTTCAGTTAATTTTCAACACTTAAGAATAACTGTGTATTAATTACAGAATTAAACCAGTCATATTAAGTAGAACAGACAAAAAAACTACTAAGAGGGATAATGTATTAAGTTGTTCATTAACAGTCAGGGCTATGCTGATCAAGTCACCATTTCCCATAGTGTCCATTTCACTTCAGGAGGTTTCCTTTTTGGTATTCAGTCAGTTGTCACCGATCAGGGAGAACATATGGTATTTGTCCCTTTGGGATTGGCTTATTTCACTCAGCATGATGTGTTCCAGATTCCTCCATTTTGTTGCAAATGACTGGATTTCGTTGTTTCTTACTGCGGTATAGTATTCTAAAGAGTACATATCCCATAATTTCTTTATCCAGTCTACTGTTGATGGGCATTTAGGTTGGTTCCAGGTCTTAGCTATTGTGAATTGAGCTGCAATAAACATTAGGGTGCAGACCGCTTTTTTGTTTGCCAATTTAAATTCCTTTGGGTAAATTCCAAGGAGTGGGATGGCTGGGTCGAACGGTAGGGTTATCTTCAGGTTTCTGAGGAATCTCCAGACTAACTTCCAAAGTGGCTTGACCAGTTTGCATTCCCACCAACAGTGGGTTAGTGTCCCTTTTTCCCCACATCCTCGCCAGCATCTGTTGTGGGTAGATTTCTGAATGTGAGCCATTCTAACCGGGGTGAGGTGAAACCTCATTGTGGTTTTGATTTGCATTTCCCTGATTACTAATGACCTTGAACATTTTTTCATGTGCCTGTTGGCCATTTGGATTTCTTCTTTTGAAAAATGTCTATTGAGGTCCTTGGCCCATCTCTTAATTGGGTTGTTGGTTTTGTTTTTGTGGAGTTTCTTGATCTCTTTGTAGATTCTGGTTATTAACCCTTTATCTGTTGCATAGTTTGCAAATATTTTTTCCCATTCTGTCGGTTGTCTCTTCACTCTCCTGACTGTTTCTTTTGCAGTACAGAAACTTCTCAATTTGATGCAATCCCAATAGTTGATTTTGGCTTTGACTGTGCCTCCCGGGTCTTTTCCAGAAATTCTTTGCCTGTGCCAATATCTTGAAGGGTTTCTCCAATGTTCTCTAGTAACTTGATGGTGTCAGGTCGTAGATTTAGGTCTTTAATCCATGTTGAGTGGATTTTTGTGTAAGGTGTAAGGTAGGGGTCTTGCTTCATGATTCTGCATGTGGAGATCCAGTTTTCCCAGCACCATTTATTGAATAGATTGTCCTTGCTCCAGTAATTAGTTTTAGATCCTTGATCAAATATAAGTTGGCTGTAGATGTTTGGGTTGATTTCTGGTATTTCAATTCTGTTCCATTGGTCTATCCATCTGTTTCTGTACCAGTACCATGCTGTTTTGATTACAACTGCCCTGTAGTATGTCCTGAAATCTGGTATTGTGATGCCTCCGGCTTTGTTTTTGTTGTACAAGATTGCTTTAGCTATTCGAGGTCTCTTGTGCCTCCATATAAATTTCAGCACCATTTTTTCCAGATCTGAGAAGAAGGTCTTCGGTATCTTGATTGGTATTGCATTGAATTTATAAATTGCTTTTGGGAGAATGGACATTTTGATGATATTGATTCTTCCAATCCATGAGCATGGAAGATTTTTCCATTTCTTGGTATCCTCTTCTATTTCTTTCTTTAAGGTTTTGTAATTTTCATCGTAGAGATCTTTAACGTCCTTGGTTAAGTTTATTCCAAGGTATTTGATTGTTTTTGTAGCTATTGTGAATGGGATTGATCTTAGAAGTTCTTCCTCAGCCATGGCATTGTCTGTGTATACAAAGGCTGTTGATTTTTGTGCATTGATTTTATATCCTGCTACTTTGCCAAAATCTTCTATGAGTTCCAATAGTCTCTTAGTAGAGTTCTTTGGGTCCCCTAAATAAAGAATCATGTCATCTGCAAAGAGGGATAGTTTGAGTTCTTCCTTCCCAATTTGTATCCCTTTACTTTCTTTTTCTTGCCTAATAGCTCTGGCTAGAACCTCCAGAACTATATTGAATAGCAGTGGTGAGAGTGGACATCCCTGTCTGGTACCAGATCTCAGTGGAAATGCTTCCAACTTTTCCCCATTCAATAGGATGTTGGCCGTGGGTTTTTCATAGATTGCTTTGATTGTATTGAGGAATGTTCCTTCCATACCCAGTTAGCTTAGAGTTTTCATCATGAAAGGGTGTTGTATTCTATCAAATGCTTTCTCGGCATCTATTGAGATAATTATTTGGTTTTTCTTCTGCAATCTGTTAATGTGGTGTATCACATTGATTGTCTTGCGCACATTAAACCATGCCTGCATACCAGGGATAAATCCCACTTGGTATGGGTGGATGATCTTTCTGCTGTGTTGTTGCATTCTGTTGGCGAGAATTTTATTGAGGATTTTTGCATCTATGTTCATCAGGGATATTGGTCTGTAATTCTCTTTCAGCGCTGCATCTTTTTCCGGCTTAGGAATTAAGGTGATGCTGGCTTCATAGAAAGAATTTGGGAGGATTCCCTCTTCTTCGATTGTTCTGAATAGTTTGAGAAGAATTGGAGTTAGTTCTTCTTTAAATATCTGGTAGAATTCAGCAGTGAATCCATCTGGTCCTGGGCTTTTCTTTGTTGGGACGGCCTTTATTACTGTTTCACTTTCTGTCTCAGTTATGGGTCTGTTTAGGTTTTTGATGTCTTCCTGGTTCAATTTAGGTAGGTTGCATGTGTCCAGGAATCTATCCATTTCTGATAGGTTTCCCTGTTTGCTGGCATACAAGTCCTTGTAGTAATTTCTGATGATTCTTTTTATTTCTGTGGTGTCTGTTGTTACATTTCCTTTTTCATCTCTGATTTTATTGATTTGGGTCTTTTCTCTTCTTTTTTTAGTTAGTTGGGCCAGTGGGGTGTCAATTTTGTTTATTTTTTTCAAAAAACCAGCTCCTCGTTTGGCTGATTTTTTGGAATGTTTTTCTTGATTCAATCCTGTTGATTTCTTCTCTGATTTTAATTATTTCTCTTCTCCTACTAGATTTGGGTCTGGTTTGCTGTAGGTTTTCTAGATCCTTGAGGTGAATTGAGAGCTCATCTATTTGGTGCCTTTCTAATTTCTTGATGTAGGCACCTATTGATATAAACTTTCCTCTTAACACTGCTTTTGCTGTATCCCATAAGTTTTGGTATGTTGTGCTGTTATCCTCATTTACTTCCAGAAAGTTTTTGATTTCTCTTTTAATTTCTTCTATGACCCATTGTTCATTCAGGAGCATGTTGTTCAATCTCCATGTGTTTGCATATGCTCTAGGGATTCCTGAGTTGCTAATTTCCAACTTCATTCCTTTATGGTCTGAGAAGCTGCATGGTATGATTCTAATTCTTTTGAATTTGCTGAGACTTGCTTTATGGCCTAGTATGTGGTCAATCCTAGAGAAGGTTCCATGTACTGCTAAGAAGAATGTAAAATCTTTAGCTGTAGGATTGAAAGTTCTGTATATATCTGTTAGATCCATTTGGGCTATAGTGTCGTTTAAATCTACTGTATCCTTGTTGATCTTCTGTCCTATTGATCTGTCTATTTCTGAGAGTGGAGTATTGAAGTCCCCCAGTACTATTGTATTGGGGTCTAAGTCTCCCTTTAAGTCCGTTAACAAATCTTTTAGATAAACCGGTGCCCTGTAGTTAGGTGCATATACATTGATAATTGTTATATCTTCCTGTTGAATTGATCCCTTAATCATTATGTAGTGTCCCTCTTTGTCTCTCTTAACGGTTTTTGTGGTAAAGTTTATGTTGTCTGATATTAAGATGGCTACGCCCGCTCTTTTTTCATTTCTGTTGGCATGGTATATCTTTTTCCAGCCCTTCACTTTCAGTCTGTATGGATCTTTGTTGGAAAGATGTGTTTCTTGTAAGCAGCAAATAGATGGGTTTTGTTCCTTAACCCAGTCAGCCAATCGGTGTCTTTTAACTGGACAGTTCAGGCCATTCACGTTCAATGTGACTAATGATAAGTGGTAACTTTGCCCTGCCATTTGCCAAAGATAAGTTCTAATATATGCTTTGAATTCCCTGTAATCTTTTGCTGTGAGCTTTCCTTCCTTGGTTTCCTTCCTCAAATAAATAAATTAATCTTTAAAATAAATAAATAAATATTTTTAAAAAGTGTAACTGCAAAGGAAAAATTCTCCAGAGTGTCTTGATATTAGGCTTGAACTATAGAAGAAGGAATTATGACAGTTTTAGTAATGGCAATACCAGAAAGTATGAAAAAAGAACAGGAAAAAGTATTTGCGCAAATAATACTTTAATATCTGAAGATACTTTTTTCCGACTAATCTACATATTTGTTTTATTTTATACAGTTAAAATAAACACAAAGAAATCCACAGCCATACCCACCATATTAAAAATGCTGAAAGAAAATATCTTGAAAGCAGGAAGCTCAATATAGCTCATTGTGTAAAGGGAATTCCATTGAGACTGACAGCTGACACAACACTGTCTGTGCTGTCCAGAGGGCAGTGGGAGAGCATATTCAAAAGTGTCAGAAGAAAACACAGCGAACCAAAAATGTTGTGCTGAGTAGGACTATCTTTTTTTATTTTTATTTATTTGACAGGTAGAGTTATAGACAGTGAGAGAGAGGCAGAGAGAAAGGTCTTTCTTCCATTGGTTCACTCCCCGAATGGCCGCCCCAACCGGCACTGCACCGATCCGAAGCCAGGAGCCAGGTAGTTATCCTGGCCGCCCATGAGGGTGCAGGGCCCAAGCACTTGGACCATCCTCCGCTACACTCCTGGGCCACAGCAGAGAGCTGGACTGGAAGAGAAGCAAGCAAGACTAGAACCCGATGCCCATATGGGATGCTGGCACTGCAGGCGGAGGATTAACCAAGTGAGCCATGTCGTTGGCCCCAAGTAGGACTATCCTTTAAAAATTAAAGTGAATTAAGAACCTCAATTAAAAAAACTTCAGAAAATCTGTCCTTAGGAAACTCACTTTAGTAGAAATTCTAAGAAAGTTCTCTGAAATTTAAGTTTCTGCAGAGTAACTAGAATCTACACACAAAGAGAATATAAATATAATTACAGTATAGTAAATTAATGCATATTATTATCATTTTTCTCAATATTTTGAAGATATTTTTATTTTATTTGAAAGGCAGAGTTACAGAGAGGCAGAGACAGAGAGAAATCTTCTATCCACTGGTTCACTCCCCAGATGGCCACAACTGCTGGAGCTATGCTGATCCAAAGCCAGGAGCCAGGAACTTCTTCCAGGTCTCCCAAGTGGGTGCAGAGGCCAAGGACTTGGGCCATTTTCCACTGCTTTCTCAGGCCATAGCAGAGAGCTGAATTGGAAGTAGAGCACCCAGGACTCAAACCAGCATCCATATGGGATGCCAGCTCTGCAGGCAGCAGTTTTTACATACTATGCCACAGCGCTAGCCCCCTCTTTATAATTTAAAAGGCAATATATTAAGTAATATATACCTTTAGGCCTATAAAATAAAGAAATATATTACAATGCAAAACAAAGGAGGAAGGCAGAAACGGTCATGAATTTTAGTAAGAAATAACACTAGATGGTAACTCAGATCCACTGGAATAAATGCAAAGAGCCAGATACAATGAATATGAATGTTGTTATGACAAACACTATAAATAAATACTAGGTCCTTTCTTCTCACACCTTCTGTGAGACAACAAATTATATTCCTAGTGCTTATCCCATCTCCCCTAAAATGCTTTTCTCTTGCTTCTGTGCTTATCTAGAGATCTTTACATTCACATTTTATATGGGTCATTCTTCCATATACCAGCTGGAGAAAGAACCAGAGATCCTAAAACACATGTGCTAATATTGCCCACTTTGTATTGTCGTAGCTCTACTTACTTTCATAATACATAATCATGTATTCATGGAAAGGATGTTCTATCTAATTGTCTTAATTCAGTTTGGTGTTGATGTCCCCAGCTAGTTTGTGCTTTAGATTTCAGTAGCGGTATATTTGGACTATAAATATTACAATGAAAGCTTTAGCATTTTTTTTTCAGAAGTTTAGATACTTGTTTGGAGTAAAGCTTCTACTCTATGGTATGTGGGTCATTACAGGCCCCTAACTTCAGGTATGTGCTGTACTATAACCAATTTTCAGTCTCAAAATGTTAGGTCCATTGGTTGTCCCAGTTCCCCAACCTAATTGTTCATTTCTTAATATGAATTCCACTTTAATATCTTTCATGTATTTTTCTCGTGATTGGACTTACTAATAGTCCTCAAATCAAGCAAAATGTTCAAATCACACAATAACTCAAATGAAAAGTAGCTGAGTCCCAGTGCATTTACCCACTTCATTTTCCTCAGCTACAACATTTACAAACTCAGAAGAGCTGGGAGGCGATTTTTTTTACTGCACAGACTATGTTATTATTCTTCTGTATCATTGATCTTTACTTCATTCACAGTTTATAGACTTAAAGATAATATAAAACATTCCTAAAGTAATTAAATAATTTCTGCCTCAGAGTAATTCTTAGAGACCATAGTTTGCAAACTCACTTGTTAGAAATGATGTCTTAGGCCAGCGCCCCGGCTCAATAGGCTAATCCTCTGCCTTGCGGCGCCGGCACACCGGGTTCTAGTCCCGGTCGGGGCGCCGGATTCTATCCCGGTTGCCCCTCTTCCAGGCCAGCTCTCTGCTGTGGCCCGGGAAGGCAGTGGAGGATGGGCCAAGTGCTTGGGCCCTGCACCCCATGGGAGACCAGGAGAAGCACCTGGCTCCTGCCTTCAGATAAGCGCGGTGTGCCAGCCGCAGCGCGCCAGCCGTGGCAGCCATTGGAGGGTGAACCAATGGCAAAAGGAAGACCTTTCTCTCTGTCTCTCTCTCTCACTATCCACTCTGCCTGTCAAAAAAAAAAAAAAAAAGAAATGATATCTTACCTCACCAGTTACATCCCCACGGTAGGATAACTATTCATAAACTCCTGGTTTATTTTAGCTTGCACAATAGGCAGCATTGTATAGAAAAAGCACTGGTTGAGGGATCATGAGGTGTTACCTTGGGCATCCATTTCATCATTATCTTGATGTGTGATCTCAAGTAAGTCACAACATATTCTAGACCTCAATACTATGAGGACTATGTGATCTCTAACAAACCTTCTAATCCTAAGGCTTAGTCATTCTGCCATCTGAACATTATATTACAATTCTTCTATGATGGCAAGTGTTAGTAAAGTTAGCACTGCACACACATACTCACCTTAAAATGTACTTGAAATATCTTTGAATTCTACCTTAAAATCTACTTGAAATATCTGAATTCTTTAGAGAATGATACGGAAACCTTGGCAGAACTTGTTGAAAGAAGTGTAATGAAGGGATCCTTTAAGACACAACCAAAGAATCAGCCTGGTAAGTACAGAAATTCTTCAAGTATAGTATTTATGTTTTCTTTATATTCCTGAAGTTAAATTACATGAGGATTTTAAATATTAAGAGTTAAGAGTAACTTACTACATAGGTAAACTCCATGATTAACCTCCTATAGCCTCATATTTAATACCATTGGAATTCTAGAAATATAAGTTTATGAATGCTCCATTTAGAAAGACATACATACAATATACTGTGTTGTAGTGACACTTAAAAATCTTGGTGTAAGCATTTCCAATGTTATCTACTTACCTTATATATCTGGCTTATAAAATGTGTTTTTAATTTGAAAATGTATAAGTGTTAATTGATGAATATTATAAAAAGGAACATAATAGATAATTATTTCATGGTTGCTGGTTCCCTCTATAAAAGTAAAATGTCATGCAAATTCATAATATCATAAATGTATTTATGCTTTAGATGTATTTATTTCAGTTATAATACTAACATCTTTAGTCTGAGAGCAATAGTATTAGACATATCACACTTTGATCTCTGGCATTGTATTAGTCAGATTCTCATTATTATGATGAAATACCTGGGACAAGCTACTTAGAAAGGAAACAGGTTTATTTAGCTCATGCTTTGGGTGACTGAAAGTCCAAATGGCATTTTTGCAGGCTCTGTAAAGCCCCATGTAGATGACAGAGCACATAGAAGAAGAAAGGATCACATGGAAAGCCAGGAATAAGGGGGGTGGGAGGGGAGAGCCTGACTGGAAACTCACAATCCCTTTTGAGGGAGAGCGCATCCCTCCATGACCTGAGGACCCTTCTCTGGGCCCTACCTCATAAATGTCCAAAGAACCTCATGCCACCATCCTGGCAACCACACCTTTATACATGAAACTTTAGGAGACACTCATCGAAGCTATAGCATTCTCCCATTTATCTCAAAGGACCTGTGTCTATGTCACAATTAAAATGCATTCATTACACCAGCCAGTGACCTAAGGTCTTCCCCCTAAGCTCCACCTCTTACAGGTCCCCAGCACTAACACTCTGGGGACCAAACCTTGAAATGTAGAACTTGGGAAGTATTCACAAAAAGAGGCAAACACATTAACAGAGAAGTAAGGAAAGTATATGACCAAAGAAAATCCTATTAAGAAGAGAGTCAAAGATAGCTCTAATACACTATAGTTACTGCCCTGCCTGCCATGGTTTAACATGACTGTCCATCCAGTACTCATGTCGAAGTTTAATCTCCTTTGTAAAATATGAAAAGGATGGAAACTCAATGTGACTAATCACCTTGGAGGTGATTAGGGTTATATAAGATCATCAGAGTGGGGCCTTATGATTGAGCACCAGTGACTTTATATAAAGAGAGACGGAGACAAGTATATGGAAATGCATGTTATCCCAATCTCTTGCAATGTGATTACCTATGATGCCTTGGACCTGTGCCAGCAACATGGCCATCACCAGGTGTGGACCTTTGAACCTTCAAAACCATGAGCTAAGTAAACCTCTCTGGAGAGTAGGAGCAAGACAACAGCTGAATGAGATACTTCAGCACATACCTCAACACAGAGATATCAATTTGAGCAGCTGTTCATGTACCAAGTCACTTTAAGAAGAACTATAGAAGTTAGGTAAGAAATTACTGTCTTATTTTAGTATAATGATAAGAAAAATCTCATTAAAGAAAGTAGAAAGGACAGAGTTGCCTGCATCACCCTTCCCCTAATAATGGTGTGAGCCTAGAGACAGCTGTTCCTTGCAGGAGCGAGAGTTAGTCCCTAGACTTGAATCCCAATGCCAAGTCCTCTGTGATAGCTTTCGGAGTCACAGCCCCACAGCCACTGCTCCCTGGGACCTATGTGCAGAATGAGTGTTTGAGCCCTACGTAGCCAGGTGGCCTCCACCACCCTGCCCACAATGTCCACCAGGAGTCAGAGCAAGATCCCATCTGCCATAGAGGACAGAATAGGAGACTTAGGTCTTTGCCTTGGAGAACAAAGCCTGGCCCACCATCATGAGACTTTAACCCTGGGCTGGTACTCAATCATGGAGCCTTGGGACTTGCCTGACATTGGGAAAAGGCTCATGTTCTGGTGGGAGAGACATGTTCTGATGTGTCACCTCTATCCTCAGACCAGCTGGCATGCACCCACAGTTCTTCATGTAGCCGTGTGATGGTGCAGCAGGTTAAGCTGCCAATTGTAATGCCAGCATTCCATCTCAGAGCACTAATTTGGATTCCAGTTATAGCACTTCCTACCCACTTGCTGCTAATGTACCTGGGAAGGCAGCAGAAGATGGTCCAAGCATGTAGGCCCCTGATACCAATGTGGAAGACCAGGATGGAAATCCTGAGTCCTGGGTTGATCCTGGCCCAGACCTAGCTGTTGTCACCATTTGGGGAGTGAAACAGTGGATGACGATCTCTCTCCATCTCTCTCCATCTCGCTCTCTCATTCTGTCTTTCAAATAAATAAGTATATGTTTTAAAAACAAAAAAAAATCAAGTACCCAAGTTACTATGTTCAAAAGTTACTTGAGAATGCCAAAGATATAGAAATATATTCAAAGATATAATAATGGATGACTTCTCAAACCAAGAGAAAGATACTTCATGTACAAGGAGATCAGAGTCACCAGATTCAACCCAAACAAATCAACCACAAGGCATACAATAATCAAGCTCCCCAAGGTCAAATATAAAGAGGGAATTCTCAAAGCTTCAAGAGAAGCAGAAGTATGTAACATGTAAATGAGTCTCAGTAGTCTGACTTCAGACTTCTCAGAAGAAACCTAACAGTGCAGAACAGAGTGAGATAAGACTTTCATAGTATTAAAGGAATAATTGCTAGCCAGGAATACTGTACCCAGCAGAGCTGTACTTCAGATGTAAGAGAGAAATAAAGACATTCCCAAGCAAACAAGAGTTTATAAAATTGGAAACCACCAAGCCCTCATCCTACAAATGTAAAAGGAATTCTTCAAACTGAAAGAGATACTAACAAAGAAGAAAATTTCAAAGGTGCCTAGAAACTAGCAGAAGGAGGTGCCATCTTAATAAGGCAGTTAGAGTCTGTTACAGCCTGAGTGACTGGAAAATGTTATCAGAGAGAAAAATAACAGGTCCCTGCTGACTTTGAGCCTGGCCTGGAGGGTTGGCAGTAGGGAAGGAAGCCCATTCAGACCTGTGAAGTGCTCCAGTCCCCTAACTGTCAAGGTGCCCAGAATCAACTTTTCCAAGGCACAGTACCGACCAACATCTATTAGGCAAGCAGCTGCCCCTGGGAGTGCTGCAGCTCTCTCTGTGGATGGAGGAGGCTCATGAGGCTGAGAGTGGATCCCATTCCCTGTGACTAGGAGAGCTTCATGCTGTGACTATGGGAATTCAGTGATTAGGCAAGAGGGCATGGGGTGTGGCTGGGTCCTTGGGCCCTCAGAGTTCCCCAAGTGCCTGGGTGGGTCATGGCAGAGGGTTCCATGCTAACACTGAGGAATGCACAGATCCTTTGTGTAGTTCATGCGCTTGTGTGGATGGAGTGTGAAATCGCTGTGGGCTCACACACAGGCATTGATCACTTTGGCAGAGAGGTGGTGAGAATGTGATCACACCAGCCCATGACATCATACCCTCCCCTCTGCTGGTAATGGAGAATATCTACCATATCCAACTTAAGTGACTCCCTGGATTCTAGCACCACACCCACATAATGACCAGAGCTCACTTGCCACACCCAGCACACACCCCTGAAGGAGCAGACATACCAATAAGCCACAGATGCATATAAAAAAAAAGCATCAGAGGAAAAAAGCAACCAGGGGTTCCATAAACGTCTAAACTTAAATATATAAGTATGACAAGCATTAGCAGAAACACAATATGATTAGCAGAAACACAATATGATTCTGCCTGTCAAAAAAAATGTAATGTAAACTTTTGGAGTGAAATGGACATTTTAAGATTCAATGATCATTTACATCCATTGTCTCTACTATAAACTACTATAAATTGCTCTAAACTTGCTTCTGTTGAGGAACAGTGTACATAAGTACATATTAAATGCATGAAATTTATGCATTTTTTTTTAATTTGACAGAGTTAGCAGTGAGAGAGACAGAGAGAACGGTCTTCCTTCTGTTGGTTCACTCCCCAAATGGCTGCTACGGCCGGTGCTGCTCCAGTCTGAAGCCAGGCAACCAGGACAGAATCTGGTGCCCCAACTGGGACTAGAACCTGGTGTGCTGGTGCCGCAGGCGGAGGATTAGCCTATTGAGCCACAGTGCCGGCCTTACATTACATTTTAGATACTCTACTAGTTACCCAAGATCAGGGGAAACATATGGTATCTGTCTTTTGGGGACTGGCTTATTTCACTAAGTATAATGGCTTCCAGTTGCATCCATTTTGGGGCAAAAGACAGGATTTCATTTTTTTTTAACACTGAGTAGTATTCCATAGTAAATATATACCATAATTTCTTTGTACAGTCAACAGTTGATGGACATCTGGGTTGATTCCATATCTTAGCTACTGTGCCAGTACCATAATGTTTTTATTACCATGGCTTTGAAGTATGCTTTGAAGTCAGATAATGTGATGCTTCTATATAGATTTTCTTGTTCAGGATTGCTTTGACTGTTCTGGGTCTTTTGTAATTCTATATGAAATTTAGGATTGGTTTTTCTAATTCTGTAAGGAATGTCATTGGTATTTTGAGAGAGATTACACTGAATCTGTAGATAGCTTTAAGTAGTACAGGTATTTTAATGATATTGATTCTTCTAATCCGTGAGCAAAGAATATCTTTCCATTTTGTTGTGTGTTTTCTTGATGATTTGTTTCATTCATGTCTGATTATTTTCCTTGTAGAGACATTTCATTTCTTTGGTTACATTTATTCCTAAATATTTAATTTTTGTGACTCTTGTGGAGGGGATTTCGTTCTTGATTTCTCTCTCTGAGTTCATCATTAGCCTACAAAAAAAGCTACTGTTTTTGTATTTTTATTTTGTAACCTGCATCTTTACTGAATTGTTTTATCAAGTCTAACAGCCTTTTGCTGCAGTGCTTAGGTGTTTCCCTGTACAAAATCATGCATCTCACACATGGATAATTAGACTTCCTCTTTTACAGTTTTTATTTCCTATACTTCTTTTCCCTCCCTAATTGCTCTCCCTAAAACTTCCAGTACTGTATTGAATAAGAGTGGTGAAAGTGGACATCCTGTGTTGTTCCAGATCTGAGGGGAAATGTTATCAGCTTTCTCCCATTCAGTATAATATTGACTCTTGGCTTGTCATATGTAGCTTTTATGACTTTGAGGAGCATTCCTTCTATACCTAATTTGTGGAGGGTTTTTATCATGAAGGGATATTGAAATTTATCAAATGTTTTCTCTGCATCTATTGAGATGATCATATGGCTTTTGTTCTTCATCCAATTGATATGATTTATGATGTTTATTGATTTGCAAATGTTGAGCCAGTCTTGAATTTCTGGTTGTGCTTGATGTTGTTCTTGGATTTGATTTTCTAGTATTCTGTTGAGAATTAAGCATCTATATTCACTGAGGATATGTTTTCACGCCTCCATTTTCATCTCTGATTTCATTTGTATTAGTATTCTCTATTTTTTCCTTAGTTAATTTTATTAGGGATTTATGAATGTTGCTTTTTCTAAGAATCACCTCTTTTTTTCACTGAACTTTTATATTTTTAAGTCTGTTTCTGCCCTGGTCTTTGTTATATTTCTTCTTCTATTTTTAATTAATATACTCTTTTTCTAGTTCCATGTGATGATGGGTTGTTATTTGAGATATTTCTGGATTTTTTTTAGATTTATTTATTTATATGAATGGTAGACAGAAGGAGCGAGGGAGGGAGGGAGAGAGAGAAGGATTGAGAGACTTGCCTTCTGCTGATTCACTCTCCAAATAGCTGCAATGGCCAGAGCTGGGCAGATCTGAAAGCCAGGGGACAGGAGCCTCTTCCAGGTCTCCCACCTGGGTGTAGGGGCCCAAGAACTTGGGCCATTTTCCACTACTTTCCCAGGCACATTAGCAGGAAGCTGGATCATAAGTGGAGCAGCTGGGACTTGAACCGGCACACATATTGGATTCTGGCACTGGAGGTAGTAGTTTAACCCACTGTACCACAGCACTGGCCCTGATATTTCTGGTTTTTGAATGTAGGAATTGATTACCATAAACTTCCCTTATTATTTCCTGCATACCATAGATTTGGGTATGTTGTGTTTCCACTTTTATTCATTTCAAGAACTTTTAAATTTTCTTCTGAATTTCTCTCTCAATCCATTGGTTTTTCAAGAGTAAGTTATTTGATTTCCATGTGCTCATATTTTTATAGTTTTGAAAATTTTCCTTATTAATGATTTCTCCTTTACAGTATTACACTTAGTATTTTTTTTAAAAAATTATTTTATTTATTTGAAAGACAGAGTTACAGAGAGAGGTAGAGAGAGAGAGAGGTCTTCCATCTGCTGGTTCACTCTCCAGGTGGCTGCAACGGCCGGAGCTGCACCGATCTGAAGCCAAGAGCCAGGAGCTTCTTCTGGGTCTCTCACTTGGGTGCAGGGGCCCAAGGACTTGAGCCATCTTCTATTGCTATCCAAGGCCATAGCAGAGATCTGGATTGGAAGAGGAGCAGCCAGGACTAGAACCGGTGCCCATATGGGATGCCGGCACTTCAGGCCAGGGCGTTAACCCACTGTGCCATAGCGCCGACCCCAACACTTAATATTATTTATTTCAATGCTTACAAATGTATTGATCTTGTTTTGTGACCTACCATTTGTGTCTATCCTGGAGAAAGTCCCATATGCTGTTGTGCAGAATGTATATTCCGAAGCTATTGAATAGAATGTCCCATAGAGGTCTATTAGATTTGCTGAGTCGAAGTTGAAATTTGGCTCTGATTCTGATGCTTCTTTGCTGATTTTCTGTTTAGGTTATATGTTTACTGCTGAAAATGAGGCATTAGAGTCCCACTACTATTATTGTATTAAAAAATCTATCTCGGGGCCAGCGCCATGGCTCACTTGGATAATCCTCCGCCTGCGGCGCCAGCATCCCTTATGGGCGCTGGGTTCTAGTCCCGGTTACTCCTCTTGCAGTCCATCTCTCTGCTGTTGCCCAGGAGGGCAACAGAGGATGGCCCAAGTGCTTGGGCCCCTGCACCTGCATGGAAGACCAGGAAGAAGCACCTGGCTCCTGGCTTCGGATCCGCACAGCGCTGGCCGTAGCAACCATTTGGGGAATGAACCAACAGAAGGAAGACCTTTCTCTATCTCTCTCTTACTGTCTATAACTCTACCTGTCAAATAATTTTAAAAAATCTATCTCTCCCTTTAGTTCTATTAATATTTCTTTGTATATTTTGATAATTTGGTATTAATTGCATACATATATTTATAAGTGCTATTTCCTCTTACTAAAGTGTCCCCTTTATCAAGACCTTCTCTGTCTTTTTTTACTGTTTTTAATGTAAAGTTTGCTTTATGATGTAAGTATAGCTACTCTTGCTTTCTTTTGGACTGAATTTTCATGGAGTACCTTGTTTCATCCCCTCACATTCAATCTACCTATATCCTTAGAAGGGATATGAATTTCATGTAAGCACCACATAGTTGGGTCTTTTTTTTTTTAATCTGTCCAGTCATCATTCACATCTTTCTGATGGGCTCTGTTACAGTATTAAATCGTTTACCTGTGTTTTCTTAAAGCTTGTTGAATTTCTTTAAAACAGCTATATCGAATGATGTTTCCCATGGTTAGCAGATAACAGCTTCCATATTTTCAGTTTTAGGGACTTTCTCTTGTTCATTAGGTGAGGCCGTGGTTCCCTGAAAGTTCTTATGCTTGCTGTCACCTGCGCATTGAAGCATCGAGTATTTATTCCCAGAACTTGTAGTCCAGCTTTGTTTGTGCCTGCCCATCTATGAATTCTATGCAGTTCCTTTTCTCTGAGCCTGTGGAGACTTCTGCTAATTCAGCACTAGGTGCTGCCCTAAGTCCAAATTTCCCTCTGGTCTGCTGGTGGCATATTCTGACTATTTTAGCATTAGAGGGCACTGAAACCCCTGATTTGTCCCAAATTTGTAATAGTTTCTTGTTCAGAGTGAACTGAACCAGTGTCTCTCCTTGGTGCCTCATACACAGTCACTGTCCTATGTCTCTGGACCTCGCTGTGGAGGGACCAGCCTCAGCTCCCCCAGGGTGACGTGAGCACAACACGCTTTGCTTTGGCCAAGTGGACAGTTACTCTCTGGGTTATTGTGCCACCTGGGCTTGGAGGACTAAGGGCTTAGGTAGTCTCACAGCCACCAGTGCACAATACTAGATCACACCCAGGGCCCACAGACTTCAGGTCCAGCGTGTTCTGTGGGCTCCCTACTGATGGGGAAGACTTGCATCCTGAGACTTCTACAATGAGCCACATGTGATGTTGGCCAGGATGTAGCCAATTAGCTGGGCCACAGGTCTCCACTTATCACTTGGGTGAATCCAGAGGTTCCATCCACAGGCAATGGCCTAGAGACAGGAATCAAGATTTCTCATGTTAGGTTTTGCCAGCCCAGCATTTAACTTAATTCAGCCAGTATTTAATTCCTGTGCTTACTTTCCTGCCCTGTTCCTAAACCATTGGAGTTTTGATTCTCTCTGCCTGCTTGAGGTATAGGGAGGAGTGGTAGAGGTGGTCTGTTAGTCACCTGGCTAAGAGTGTCCAGAGACTCAGATGCCTGGCTCTGGCCTATGGTCAGGGGCATAGGGCCCTCTCCAGTGCTGGCTCTCATGAGTCGAAGGCATGGCCTTAATTCAGTTCCCCAAGCAGGAGGTCTCTATGCTGCTGCTTAGGGTTGGGCAGCTGTGATGGAGAAAATGCTTTCCTTCCTGCCTTCCCTCGATTCATCTCTTCTGAAATTGTCACACTAAAACCGGGTCTTCTGGTCTCTCACCTGGCTTATGTAGCCCTTGTGAAGTGGTTTGGTGCATTCACAGCTATTCAAATTCATTTCTCTGTGGGGAGATGGTTTCTGGGGCATTTTAGCTTCTGTCTTGCTCTGTCTTCTGTTGTTATAATTTTCCATTGTGTGATGCCCATTTGACTTATAGTTAAATAACCTTAAAGGGAGCATGAAAATATTTAGAGACTCGTGGAAGAATTTCTGGCTTACAGTAGCTTTCTGTGACTGTGGAAACCATGTTTTGCAACTTGATTTGTCAGGAAATGTGATATTCCAATTCACCAGCTATAATCCTGCAATATGAATGTGCTGTGAATGTCAACTGGAAAGTTATTATTGCAAACTATTGAGGGTGACTAGCTTGCTTGAAAGATAACATTTTATGAAACTAGCACTCCTTAAGAATTATGAGGTTTGTACACAATGTTTTCATCTCAACATCAGGTCTTGGTACATTCACTAAATAGTCTAGACCTCAGTGTGATGAGGCTTTATGAATGTGAACAGAACTTGATCCTAAAGTGTTGTCATTCTGCAATCCAGACATTATATCAGAACTCTTCTTCTGTGGTGACAAGTACTAGTAAAGTTATCACTGCACACACTTACAGACAGCTGGTGATATCTACCTTATAAAGCATTTTGAAATCTGTCTTAATTCTACAGAGCCTGATACAGATCCCATGACAAATCTCGTTGGAAGAAGTACGATAAAAGGGCCCAACAAAACACAATTAAAGAGTCATCCTGGTGAGAACAAGACTTTTTCAAGTTAATATTTATATTTTCTTTATATTCCTGGAGTTAAATTACGTGAAGACCTTAATGACAGCAGTATTGCGTATTTGTGTATGTGTGTTTTTGTGTAATTTGTATATATACACATATATATTGTGTTACATAGATAAAGTTAGTCATTAATATGCTTCTATAACTACACTGTGGTACATCAAACATTAGCCAGGTATTATTAGTTTTAAAGCTCATCAATTTAGAAAGCACTTATTTAAGATCCATGTTTTACTTATCTTAAAATAGACTTGGCTTAGGTATTTCCAGTAAGGTGTAGAATCTTCATTGATAGAGTTCTGTCTGCCTACTTTTGTTTTCGTTGCCTGTGCTTTTGTGGTCTTCTCCAAAAAATAAGTTTCCTATACGAAGTCTTGACGTTTTTTCCCTATTCTATAATAGTAGTATCACAGTTTCACCTCTTCCATTCAAGTATTTGGTCCCTTTTGAGTTGATATTGTACTCAGTTTTTATTTCCAGAAAGTTATATCAAATTGGCAAAAGCAGAAAGGCTAGCTGATGATGAAAGGAATGCCATGGATAATTATTTCACTGGTGACTGTCTAGGTCCATTTTATGTTGCTCTACCTGAGGCTAGGAACCTTATCAAGAAGAGGTTGATTTAGCTCACAGTTTTGGAGGCTGAAAGTCCAACAATGGGTGCTTCCTTCCAGTGAGACTCTGGTGAGGGCTTCCTGGCCACGTCACAACAGGACAGGTGGCATCACAAAGTGGGAGCCTATGAGAGAGATACGTCTTCTGGTCAGAGGTGTCCCACAGTGAGAAATGTGTCACAGGGAGAGAAAAGTGCCCCATGGTAAGAGAGGTGTCACCTGGGAATAGAGGTGTCAGGTGGACAGAGTGTCTCCTGAAGAGAGGAGTCACGTGACAAAGAGGTTTCAGACAGAGAGTGAGGTGTCACATGAGAAGGCTGTCACACATGGAAAGTGGGGTGTCACATGTGAGAGGTATCACAGGTAAAGAGATGTGTCATGTGAGAGAGTAGTCGTGGTGTGCAAAGAAACAAAGCAAGGAAAAGAGTGACTCTATGATAAGGCTGTCTCTAATTGATGAAAAGTCAAGCTTCTTTATAATGTCTCACTGAGAGTCCCTTATTTATGTTGTTTCAGAAACTATACCACTGCCTTTCATCCTGAAGTAACAGTGTTGGGAATAGTTTCTTGTTATTTTAGGTATGATACCAAAAGAGACAGAAGGAAAAGTAAGGGGTGGTGGTCAGAGGGGGCCCAGGAACCCCTACTCCAGGGGTGCTGAGTGCAGTGGCTGAGGCTTCAGCAAAATCCCAGTCACATCAGTAAACAAGGAAGAGAAAACAGCAAGTACTTCCACATAGAGGAGGAAGAAATCAGCGTCTGGAGATACTGCAGTGTGTTGTCTGAACATTCAAGTCTTGAGCAAAAATAATTGGCCTGCAAAGAAACAATAAGTATGACTATACCAATAAAAAGCTTATGAAACAAATCTTGTGAGAGTGCAAATGCTAGACTTGGCCAGCAACGTGGTTGTTACTCAGTTATGTTCTTAGAGCTGCAGTGACTCTTCAAGGACAAAGGAAGATACCCTGCTGACGCGTCATCACACAGATTTATAAACAGGAATTTTATAAAATGCAGACGGGGGCGGGAACCAAAATACTTACGTTAATGGTTGCCTTACAAAGTATTTTGAAATCTCTTTTATGTATATCAACCGTCAGGACAAGAGCTGATCAGGTCACTGTTTCTCATAGTGTCCATTTCATTTCAACAAGTTTCCCCTTTGGTGCTCAGTTAGTTGTCGCCGATCAGGGAGAACATATGATATTTGTCCCTTTGGGACTGGCTTAATTCACTTAGCATGGTTTTTTTTTTCACTTAGCATGTTGTTTTCCAAATTCCTCCATCTTGTTGCAAATGACCGGGTTTCGTTGTTTTTGACTGCTGTATAGTATTCTATAGAGTACATGTCCCATAATTTCTTTATCCAGTCTACTGTTGATGGGCATTTGAGTTGGTTCCAGGTCTTAGCTATTGTGAATTGAGCTGCCATTTTAGTATTTTTTTTTTGTTCTAGTACCATTGGTTGAACTCTGTAATTAACACACAATTATTCTTAGGTGTTTAAATTTTAACTGGAAAGTGATCCCTGTTAGGAATTTGTAAAACATTATGGTGAGTGAAATAAACCAATCCCAAAGAGACAAATACCACTTGTTCTCCTTGATAGGTGACAACTAACTGAGCACCAAAAAGGAAACCTATTAAAGTGAAATGAACACTATGAGAAATGGTGACTTGATCAGCCCTCACCCTGACTGTTGATGAGCAACTTGATATGTTATCCCTCTTAGTATTTTTTTTTTTGTTTGTTCTACTTAATACTTTTGGTTGAATACTGTAATCAATACACAATTCTTCTTAAGTGCTGAAACTTAACTGAAAAGTGATTGCTGTTAAATATAAGAGTGGGAATAAGAGAGGGAAGAGATGTGCAATTCGGGACATGCTCAAGCTGACTTACCTCAAACAGTAGAGTTAGAAACATACCAGGGGATTCGAATTCAATCCCATCGAGGTGGCATGTACCAATGCCATCTCACTAGTCCCAGTGATCAATTTCTGTTCACAATTGATCGTAATGATAGGAATAAGAACCAAAGGGATCACATAAACAAGAATAGTGTCTGCAAATACTAGCTGATAGAATCAAAAAGGGAGAGAACAATCCAACATGGGAAGTGAGATACACAGCAGACCCATAGAATGGCAAATGTCCTAAACAGCACTCTGGCCTCAGAATCAGCCCTTAAGGCATGCGGATCTGGCTGAAATGCCCATGAGAGTATTTCAGGCATGGAAAGCCAAGACACTCAGGCAAAAAAAAGACCTAAATGAAAGATCTCCACGAGTGAGATCCCAGTGGAAAGAATGGGGCCATCAAAGAAGGAGGTACCTTTCTCTGAAGGGAGGAGAGAACTTTCACTTTGACTATGACCTTGTCTAAATAAGATCAGGGTCAGAGACCTCAAAAGGCTTCCATAGCCTTGGCAACTCCTGACAAGAGCCTAGGGTGATTACTGATGCCATAAACAAGAGTGTCAATTTGTTAAGTCAACAACAGGAGTCACTGTGTACTTACTCCTCATGTCAGATCTCTGTCCTTAATGTGTTGTCCAATGTGAAGTAATGCTATAACTAGTACTCAAACAGTATTTTACACTTTCTGTTTCTATGTGGGTGCAAACTGTTGAAATCTTTACTCAATATATGCTAAACTGACCTTCTGTATATAAAGAGAATTGAAAATGAATCCTGATGTGAATGGAAGGGGAGAGGGAGCGGGAAAGGGTAGGGTTGCAGGTGGGAGGGAAGTTATGGGGGGGAAAATCCATTGTAATCCATAAGCTGTACTTTGGAAATTTATATTCATTAAATAAAAGTTAAAAAAAAGAAATAAAAAAACTGAATGATTATACCATAGAAAAATGAACAGATCAATAACCAATGATGGGATTAATTAATAATAAAGAATCTCTTCACAATAAATCCTGTATGTCTGATCGACTATGAGCACATTGATTTCCCCAACCTTATGTGAGGCAGCACTCTCTCTCTTGTGTCGTGTGTTCTCATATATTCAGAAGGATGGTCCCAATTCATTTTATTTGGCTAGGATTACCTGATTCCTAAATCAGACAAGGGTTCCACCATTATAT